TAGGCCATCTTGTTCCGGTTTCCAACAGCTAAATGTAGATGTGTCTTCGGAGCCGCGTGGTTCGTGCAGATGTGGCAAAACGGTTAGCTTGCATGCAGGGTGCTATGTGATTAGCAGGCCGGGATCCGCCGGAGCTGTTCTACTGAACTGCGCATGCAGGCCGCCAAGAAGATGACCGATGCTCTTGAGAAGCTCCTCCAAAAGGCTGTAACTTTGAGAGCGGCGCCTTTATGAGCAGAATGCCAGTGCCAGATGGCAGCTTTTGGCTTGAAAGGGAAGGTGAACAGGGTCCCTGACTTTTAATGGCAGTTTTGCAGATTTGCCAGGTCTCGTCGCAGGGCATAGGGACAGACATCTGGGCTAGATTCCGGTGCATGTGCTAATCAGCTTTCTCATCCGTGTTACATGGCTGCTTCTGCGCTTGCTGTGGCTGCACTTGCGTGGGCCCGGCCCGCAGCACTAGCACTTCAAGAAAGTGGAGGGTCGGATGACTTGAGACTTGGCGCTGTGTCGTATGACCTTGGCATCAAACCTTAGGTGTTTCTACCTTGGTTCATGACTAGATGTTCAAGACTTGCAGCAGAGCAAGGACTGCGGCCTGCAGAGGCCCGGATGCTGGTTGGGATGGCAGAGGCTTTGCAACACTTCGCCTGGCTAGCACGTAATGTTGGAATTCATGCTACGGACATGTGGAAGACCGCCAAACCTCGTAGCCAAACTAAGAAAAGGCTGGTCTGCAAGCGAATCAGCATGGTTTGAAATTAGAAGGGCCTGTGGGCAACCAAACGCCAACTAGCCTGCAAGTTTTGGAGGCAGGGGATTTTTGAAAAGTCGCAAATCGGTAAGCTGCCCTGGAGAAACCACCTTCGAGCCCCGATTGTGGCGTGCTTCGGAGACTCCTCGGATAGCCCGGGCGCCACGGTCATTTTAAGTGTCGTTTTCGATGCCTGCATAGAGGTACTTTACACTTTTTACATCTTTGTACCATATGTCAAGGTGTTTAGAAGGGGCGGACACAGACGATTTCTGTTGAAAGGTTGCAATGACCAAGGTCAAGGCCCGCCGTGGACAGGAGACTTAACTGAATTGCTGGCTTCGTGCGCAGCAAGACCCCCCGGGCACTTCAAGCAGAGTGGCCAAGGACTTGACAGCCGATCAAATCTTCGACTTCCCCAAGGGCACAGTTGTTGGCCAGGTGCGCTCTACATTGGGCCCCTTTGTCTGCTCGCCGACACATCAGTGGCGAATGTCGTTCTGAGGTGCTTGGCAGCAATTGTACAGTCGCAGATGGCCTTCTGCGGTTGCAGATCTACGAGCCTGAGTGTCTTGGTCGAAATTTGTGCAAGCCGTTAGTGCCCGAAAAGCAGTCCTCTTACGAGCAAGTCTGACAGGGAGGCGTTTGAGAAGGCCGACCCAGCTTCTGGCCTCAGCTTGAAGACTGGTTGGGTGACGGTGAGCGCTGAAGCGCAGCCTGTCCTCAATTCCAGCCAGTGTCTGTGTACCACATTGGAGTTCTCCAGACTGAAGGGCTGTCGGTGTCCCTGCAGAGTTCAAGATAAGGAAGGGAGGCCCGCGCTTTTTCGAGCTTGTGCGCCCAGAACAGATCGATTCGCGGTCTGCTGCCTCTGGGGAGAAGCGTTGCAAGGCGGAAGGTTCTGAGACTTAGCTGATTGCTCATTGGGTCAGGGCACAAGCAAAATGTCCAATCTAGCGCTGGCCACTTCATTTCTGGCTTAGTTAGGACAAAGTCACAGAACTGACATCACGCAGCGAGCATGGGGCTCTTGCAGCCTGCAAAGACAATCCAGATACGTTGTGCAAAGCACGGAGCCCAGTTGCCGGAACGCCTTGCTATGCCTTGCTAGCCTGCAGTGACTTGATGCCATGAAGCTTTGAAAAGCAAGGCGACTGGGAAGGTAATCAATCTGGACGCTGACATGTTTGATGAAGTTTCCAAATGGCCAGATAGCCTATGGATTGTCGCTTCTTTCACTCCCTGGTGCGCGCGGTGCCCGGACTACATGGCTTATTTTCAATCAGTGGCTCAGGACCTTGCAGGCCAAGGTCCGCTGCACTTTGCGGGGATCAACTGCCACGTGAACGGACGCTTCTGCGATCAGCTGGGCCTGATGGGTCATCCTATGGTTGGCTTTGTGTACGGAGGCTGCTTGGTCCCCTTTGGAGCTCATTGTTAGTGGTACGCAGGTCGACTCATGCCCAATTTTGCTTGACTTGCTTCAGACGAGCATCCGTTCTAGGATTCTGACGGGGCTGCAAGGGCGAGAATAAGACTGAAGTGCACCGTCGTTTAAGCATTAAGCTTGCAATGGCAGCTCATCGAATTCTTTATAACCCTTTTCGTTTTGCGAGGTGAAGATGTCAGCGTGAGCTCGGCAATCACGGAGTTCCTGCAGGATCAGCCAGCGCCAGAGTGGCGGCCGGTGGGATGCTTGAGAAGCACAAAAGTCGGGCGTAGTAACTGGGTAGGCCCCTGGGATATTTGATATTTTCCCTAATTGCTTTAATAGGGGACCCTGTATATTAATATTGTTCAAAGGGTTTTGGGGGCCAACCCAGGTAATAATCAAGAGCAGCAAAAGCAGCAGCAGCCTGACAGCTGGTGAAGCCGGATAAGTGACGGTATGTAATTTCAAAGGTTGCTGCTCGTGGTAACATGCATGATCAAACAGACTGGAAGCTGACCCATGTTCGGATCATGCAGACTGAGGATGGGTTTTTGCTACAGAGCTGCAACGAAGCCGCAGACAATGGATTGATTTGACATTTTTACGATCGCCCAGTTTCAGAAGTTAATAAGCTTACAAGCTCTTGGAGATGTCATGCTACCTCGACTCAAGCCGGTCCAAGGTCGACTTTTTTCTCCAAGCTGCCTGGGCCTTTCCGGCCCCAGAGCCACGTGCAAGGACCTCTGTCTCCTGCAGTAGATAGTAAGCCTGAATGCCGCGGGCTGAGCTGAGCATGACAAGAGGCACTGTACTGGCCAAGCATTCAAGGTGCAGGTGTGTCCGCCAGACCTGGCCTCAGGTGCTGGCAATTCTGGCTCGGCTGGGGTGGGCCGCGACCGTCCAGAAGAAAAAACGATGCCGGCACTGGTACTCTCAGATGCTTTGCAAGGCCTTGCAGAAAGCCTCGAGATGACAGGAACCGTGGTCACCTTGCCACAACTCTCTGCACTCCACTCCTGGCTATCTTTGTTTGAAGACGGACTGCCTCCAGACAGCTCGGGGATAAGTGTCAGAGAATTGGTGTCCGGACCGTTACAGAGCCTACGAAACTACCTGACAAGCGCCTTGCAACTGGGAGTGGCGGCAGGGGCAAATTTTGCCCTTTGTAAGCAGGAATGGGAGTCAGCATATCGCCCTCTGCAGAAGCAGCTGTTAGCATCAAGTGATTTATTGCGCCTACAGGCTGTGGCGGCCACAAACAGTACTTGTCATACTCGTGCCTGCCGTACATGGGTGCTCCTTCACGGACTTGCCACCTGGAAGCCTCTCGAAGCTTCGAACGACCTGACACTTGTCGAGCAGAATCTCAAGGCATCTGGGATCTAAGTCTAAAAGAAACATTTTGTGGCTTGGAATGGCGGAACGTGGATTAATTAGGAACCGCAACGATGCCCATCATTAACCTCAGGTGCAGTGACCGCTTCGACGTTCTGCTTCAGCTAATCCTGTACTGCAGCCATCTGTAGCCAATAGTCCTAGTTTTTTTCACCGCTAACGCGCCCCCGGAATCGTGCGCACTGGGAGGGGTTAACTTATTCTTCCAACGGCCCTGGATCTAAACCGCCCCAGGCCTCCGGCCCTCTGTGTTGCACTAGAGCCCTGTTTCTACTCTCTACCCAGTGGTCCTCCTACCTACGGCTACCTTCAGAGCAGTTCAAGTGCAAGTCAGCCCAAGGTGATTGGGATCATGCTCTCCATGCCCGCATCGGCGCTTGGGCAAGCGTTGGGTGGTAAGTTTTCCTTACAAAGCCCGGCTTCCTTGCTGGCATACCTAGATGAAGCTGATGACATCAAAGATTCCTTCTCACTCGCGATGTGGAGAATTCATGGTGCCGCATCAGCACGTTTTGCCCTCCGGTGCAATTCGAGCTTAGTGCCAGACCTCCGCTGGCCAACAGCGAGGCTTTGTCCCAACTGTTGGGGCAAGTGCTTTCGTCGGGGTCGTTTTTGTTGGAGTCCTTGGGAAGATGAGCGAAAGCTGGCGGGAGCCTATGTCCCTGACGGCTTTGCAGACGCCGTGCCAAATCATGCACAGGTAGCCGAGCTATTGCGGTCACGGTATGGCGGAGACCTGCAGGACAAATCAGAAGAAATATGCATGTCCTTTCCTAATGCAAGGAGCGCTTGCTATTCATTTTTGGCAAGTAGCACGCCCCATCTTCGGTAATCTGGTTGCAGGCACGGGCTGGGTCTTCAGCTGCCGCGACAGCAGCGCACTTACGAAAACATCCATGTTGTCGGATTGTGCCACATGCTTCTATGTCTCCATAGGGTGAAGTTGGGGGGCAGCGCCTGGTTCAAGAACCCTTTCTGGGCAGAAAAGTGCATCATGCTTGGGGCACAAGGCTACTACATGTAGCGACATCGTGACACCCCGTATGCAGTAATTCAGGTGAAATTTGAAATTGCCATCCAGGAAGCATGTTCCAAGGAGTCCGCTGACCCTGGCACCGGAAAGAGAGGTCCGACTGTCTCTCCTGTCGCTGCCTTGTCCCCCTTTTGGTTGCCTGATTGAGCAGGCTGAACCCTAAATCCCGGAACCCCAGCATAATCCCTATAGAACCCTATGATAATATAGTAGTTTCAAATTTCTTTTCCAGCATAACATCCCCTATACAACCCCAATATATCC